CCACGCCCCCTTCCCCATTACCCCCTTCTCTTCCTGAAGGCTCCGCCCCTTCTGTAAGCCACGCCTCTTCTGATGCCCTTTGGGGGCCAATAAGCCACGCTCCCTACTTAAACCACGCCCCCTCATTTAGGCCACGCCCACTTCAGTTAGGCCACACCCTTTCTCTAACCCACGCCGCTTCTGATAGGCTCCACTCCCACCAATGATGTCCTGTGGAGACCCATCAGCCACACCCCCTATTTAAGCCATGATTTTTTCATTCAGGCCACGCTTCCTTTTTAACAGGCCCCGCCCTTTTCTAAGCCACGCCTCCTCCAATAGGCCATGCCCCTTCTAATAGGCTCATTTCCCACCAATGGTGTCTTACAGAGGCCAATAAGCCACGCCTCCTACTTAAACCACGCCCCCTTATTCAGGCCACGCCCCCAGTGGTAGGCCACACCCCTTGTGATAGGCTCAGCTCTCACCAATGATGTATGGAGTGCAATAAGCCACGCCCCCTGCTTAAGCCACGCCTCCTACTTAATCCCCGCCCCCATATTCAGACCACGCCCATCGCTTTAGGCCACACCCCCTTTCTTGAAGCCACACCCTTTTTTCCCTAAGCCCCGCCCCCTCCCGCAGGCTCAGCGAATCCCTGACGCGGGACGGCGCTCAGATCCGCGCCCACATCCGCCTGGTGCTGGAGGTAAGCCCCGCCCCCCTCGTTAACCCCATGTTAATTAACGAGCCTGGCCTTCGTGGAGCCCCCGTCCTTATTAAGCCTTTTTAATTCACTCTTTGTTCACGCAGGGCCTGCGGGAGCTGCAGGGCTTCCAGGATCCCTCAAGTGACCTCTGACCTCGGGGTGACCTTTGACCTCGGGGTGACCTCTGACCCTTTGGAGTGGGGGGGGGAAGGGGGGGATTCTGGGATTGGGGAGAGATGGAGGAAGGGGGGAGGGAAGGCGGAGTAAAGTGGTGTAAAGGAGCTGCAATAAACGGCGCGTGTCCCCAGTGTCCCATTGACCCCATAAGTCCCCATTGACCCCATAAGTCCCCATTGACCCCATAATGTCCCCATTGACCCCATTGACCCCATTGACCCCATAACATCCCCATTGACCCCATAATGTCCCCACTGACCCCATAAGTCCCCATTG